AGACAACACCCCTTCTCCAGCATGACGAATGGAGAATCCAGAAATGTTCACCCTCTACCATAATGGGGGGGGGAGCTTCAGCTGGCTTTAAGGGTGAACATGACTCCCGTTTCAACAAACTACAATGGAATACTGGGTAAACCTATCTTAGTATTTAGGGGAGCTCCAACTCCATTGTTACTGGGTTAATGATGCTTTTTATAAGGAATGGTCCCAGAAACATAGGGCCTAGTTTCTTTGATGGTTGTAGGAACTTTAGGAACTTGGTAGAGAAATATACTTTTCCCCCCACTTTAAATGGTTTTGGTTCCATTCGTTTCTTGTCAGGTTGTGTTTTGTAAGCCTCCCTCGCCTCATCTAGGGCTTTCCAAATCACTGGCCAGGTGTTCTGAAGTTGTTTGATCCATTCCTTCAGGGAAGGGATCGTGCCTTCATTGGTGGGTAGCTCAGGCATTGGATTGAAACTCTGTCCTGTTTCGACTTTGAAGGGAGTATAGCCAGTACTGGAAGGTACTGCATTGTTGTAAGCTACTTCCGCAAAAGGTAACAGTTCGGTCCAGTTGTCTTGCTGATAATTTATAAAGCACCTCAGGTATTGTTCTAGAACTGAGTTTGAATGTTCCGTCCCCCCATTTTTTTGCAGATGATGACTAGATGACAAGCCTTGATTGGTACCTAATAGACCCAAAAATGCTCTCCAAAATTCTGAAGTTAACTGGACTCCCCTATCTGAAATTATGCGCTATGGAGCACCATGCAGCCGGTAGATGTGCACGAATAGCTGAGCCAATGCCTTGGCTGTCGGGAATAAAATGGACTTGTTTGGAGAACAGGTCTGTCACAACCCAAATGATAGTGTTCCCCACACTTTCTGGCAGCTCCACTATAAAATCCATAGAAATCTCCAGGGTGCTGAAGGGCTCGCAACTGCTTGTAATAGACCTGGTGTTTTCCCCTGCACAGACAGGGCAGCTAGCTACATAGCTTTCAATGTCCTTTTTAATGGATGGCCACCAGAACTGTTGTTTGGTTAAGTGGAGGGTCTTTATGAACCCATAGTGCCCAGCCACCTTCGAATCATGGCAAATCTGCATGAATTTTACTCTTTTGGTTTTCGGCACATACAGTTTGTCTTTCATTGAGCAAAGATTCTTATGGTTCAGGAACCACTCGTTCTTTTCTATAACTTCTCAGAACTCTGCCCCCACTGTGCTATCTAGGCTGGCTGGCTTCTTTGCTTGTGCCCTTGTAACTGGGGCCACCAGCTATTTAGGGGTCATCTAGGACTCAACCAACTCAGGTTTTGCGTTGTTGTACTGTGGAACCCTCATTAAAGCTAGAAGTTTTTTCCCCCCAGGGATATACTTGATAGTAAAATCAAATTGGTGGAAATGCTGGGCCCACCAGGCTTGTTTGGGGGATAATTTCCTTGGGGTTTTTAGTGCCTCAAGGTTTTTGTGGTGAAGTCCATACTTCGAAGGGAATTTTGCTCCCTTCTAGAAAATGCCTCCAAGTTAGAGGGCCCAGCGCATAGCCTATGCTTCCTTCTCCCAAACTGTCCACCTCTGTTCAGTCTTGGTAAGCTTTCTGGAGGTGTAAGCACAGGGTTGCAACTGGCCCTCTGATTCTCTTGGAGCAGTATTGCTCCCACTGTTTTGTTGCTGGCGTCAGCCTGGATACCAAATGGTTTCTCTAGGTCTGGGTTCTTAAGCACCGGCTTGGCTGAAAAAAGCCTCTTTAATTTCTCAAAAGCCACCTGGCACTCCATAGTCCCTTTCAGCCATTGTCTGGGCTTTGCTTTAGTCTTTCCTTTCATTTTCAGTAAGTTAGTAATGGAGAGAGCGCTCTGTGAGAGAAGGAATGAACTGCCGGAAAAAATTGCAAACCCCAGGAAACTTTGCAATTGCCTCCTCGTGCGAGATGGCGCCCACTCTAACACCACCCGTACCTTCTCTGAGTCTATCTCTATCCCCTGTTTTTGGCCTCGCCAGCAAGATAAACCCCCACACCAGATTCTTATTAATGAACTTATGCAGCTCTTTGAGTTCCCTGGGAGTCATTGAATAGACCTTGGGCTTAGGCAGTTTGGCTCCCGGGAGAATCTTGATGGTGCAGTCGGTCAGTCAATGGGGAGGCAATTCATCAGACCGCTCTTCGAAAACCTCGGCCAGGTCCTGGTATTCTTTGGGTGTGCCTTCCACCCCCCGTTCACTGGCGGCTGCCACTACCTCCAATTTTTTTCTCCATTTGGCTCTAGGTCCTCTGCCCTGTAAGGTTGCTTTCCCTTTTGGGAACCTTAGTTCTCCTATCCTCCAATTTACTCTCATGTTCCAAATCTTTAACTAGGTCATTCCCAAAATCAGGGGCCATTCCATGCCAGGGGCTACAATAAAAGTCAAAGTTTCTGTATGGTCCCCCATCATGAATTCAACTGGTTTAGTAGCAAGACTGGCTGGAACTCCCCTTGCAATGGACCCATCTAGCTGGCCGAAAGGGATTGGCTTCTTCAACCTCCTCACCGGAATCCCCAAATTCCCCACCAGGGTTGGGCTGATTAAAGAACCAGGTGCAGCCTGAGTCTATTAGAGCCTTCAGGGTTACTTTCTCCTCCATCCCTGGGCTGAACAGTTCTATGGGTCTGGTGAGGGGCGCGTTGGGTCCACCTACCAGGGGTTCATTGTCGGAATCGCTGTCAGAACTCTCCGGCGGCTTTCCTGGTGGGGTCGGAGTTCCTCCTGGATTCCCGGAGGATTGGACCTCAACAACCTCGGTGCCTTTCATGGTGGTCTCTCGAGGGCACTGTGTGGTCTTTCCAGGCTTCCCTCCCCTGGCCATTCTCTTTTACGCACTAGAGTCTTCGAATGGCATTCAGCAGCTGAGTGGCCCTCTTTCCCACACTTGAAACACGCAGTTGAGCACGGGCCTGCGATTTGGGTCTTAGTTGTGTCTCTCTTCCCCTCTGGAGGGGAGCGCCTCCAGGTTCAACCACCCCATCATTGACTATGGGCCAGGTCAATCTCTGCTTCTTCAGCCATGATATATCAGTCGTGGAGGCTGGCTGGATCTCCCCAAGCAATGCATGCTTGGTAGAGGTCGTCATTCAGCTCATCCTTGAAGTGGCCCACCAGGATTTCATCTGGCCAGTTGAGGCGGCTGGCCAGGTCTTGGAACTCCTCGGTATATTCTGCCACCGGTTGCTGACCTTGCATCATGGTTTTAATGTGTGTTCTCTCATTTTCCGGTCTGCCAAGGGGTCTTCAAACCTCCATCTCAGGGCTGCCATGAACTGGTTAAAATTGCAGAGTTCAGGTGCGCCGGCATTATGCAGGGTCACCATTCCCCAGGCAGCTGTGCCTTCCAGGGGCATGGTCACCACTCTGACCCGTCTGCTGTCACTAGGGATATCTTGTCAATATTCGTGCATGTAGCTCAGGACTTGGGCAAAGAAGAACCCCAGCTGCTGTGGAGACCCGTCGTATTTCACTCCCAATGTTGGGATTTTCCGATCAGACTGTCAAGCCCTCTTTTTTCTGGCCTAGCGTCTGTTTCCCCCAGCTAGGGTAGCTCGGGCTGGAGTAGTGGCTTCAGCCATCACCCCCGTGGCTTCCGAAGCACTGATGTAAGGGCCGGGATTGACGAACTCACTCTCCTGGACCTCTTCTCCCTCATCCAGTCTCATTGCTACCGAATCACATCAGGGGTCTGCTTCCTCCTCCCTGAGGTTTTTGAAGGCTTCCACTATCATGTTAACAGCCTGAGGAAGTGATTAGATCAGGTTGGCCTCTTGCATTCTTCTTCACTGAGGTTGAGTGAGCTCTCCATCTTACACTTCTACCTGAGTTGGTGGTTGCCTCAGTGGAGAGTCACCTTTCTGGCCTACGATTCCCAATCATCTTTCTTCACCACTCTGATCAACCATCTCAGTTTCTCTCGGGTCTTGGCTTCGTCAGATGAGCTGGTGGAGTCTGAGCTGCTGTTGCTCGGGCAAATTTTCAGGGGGCCTCTCCCCAGCGCTTGCTTTCTCTCACCCCCGTGGTTTGACATCATTTTGCATGGTCCCCACTGTAGGAAGTTTTCCTCTGGGTTAACCACTTTGGAGATCCTGCTTAATGTAAGAACCTGCCTCCCTCCTCCTACCAAGAAAGCAGAACTCTTGAAATAGATGCCATTTCAACAGGAACTTTTATTGGCAGGTACAGATAGCAAGAAAGCTAGACAGGATCTGAGAGGTTCCCACCCGAATCAATAGGTTAAAGGAGCAATCAAAACCCCAGCCCAACTGTCCATCTGGTCGGTTCAAATGGGCCAAACCATAGGTGTCACTTTGCTGTGGGAACGAACCAATAAGGTGCCTCTTCTCAAGGTTGTTAGGTCTCCACAGCTTCCTCCTTCTGCTCGGAGATAAGGCAGATGGCCTGGAGGCACATTCCAATCACACCCCAAAGCGAGCACATCAAAGTGAATAGATCAAAGCAGAGACACTATCCCCACACCCAGTACTGCAAGGGTCCCCGTGACTCCCCCCCCCCCCCAGGAGAATGTCTCCCGGGGTCATTTGATCACCTTTTGTGAACTTTGGATAAGCAAAGTCAATGGGGAAGCTAGATTCACTTAACAACCATGTTGCTAACTTAACAACTGCTGTGATTCATCTGTGGCAAGAAAGATCATAAAATGAGACAAAATTCATTTAGCAACTGTTTCATTTAGCAACAGAGAGTTTGGTCTCAATTGTAGTCATAAATCGAGGACTACCTAAAATTATCAGAGGTCTTGGGAGATCATGTATACTGGAAAGTTTCATAGAGCAAACTTTTTTTTGCCTTTCCTTTTGGTGCTGGAATGAGTGTTATAGTGTACTCAAAATACATACACTGTGTATTCTTCCTTTTCAATACTTTTTAAGATTTATTTATCACTGCTGTGACAGAACATGTGGCTACCTGATTTCCTGTCCTTACTTTCACTTGCTATTAAATCAATTGCATTAAATTTTGCAGAAGCAGCTTTGGGGAGGCAAGCATTTCACCACTTGGTATAGCTACAGTATATAATGAGGTGAGCCAATGATTATGGATCAGTAACTGAAATTTCCACCTAAGAGTCTATCCTGAAAAATAAAAAAACATTGGTCAACTATGATAATCTCATTCTTTTCTATCAAGAGGACTATCCATCTAAGTGTTGTATATCTATGTGGGAGAGGTTCAATCAAGAGGGAATCTAGCACATGTGGGAGTTCACTGGGAATAAGTTTCTCATTTTGTCTTATTTCTGCATTCTTCTCTATTTTTGTCTTATTTCTGCACTCTTCTCTATTTCCATGAGTAGCTTTGTTTTTTGAACAGTGGCATGCTTGAAATAGAAAACAAGATTGTTCTGAGAAAACATCCACATTCAGAATATTTTGTTGAAATTTTCTGAGTTAGCTGTACTCAACTCAATGCAAATAAATTTCAAAACAATTCAAATGTTGGGTTTTTTTATTAAAACAAAAAATAAACATCTTTACTGTTCTAGACATAGAAAACAATGGGAATTCGGGACAAGAGCCTTGCTTCCTTGTTTTCCACCTCTGGGCTGTAGAATAGATGAACAAGCAGATCATTTTTATTGTTATGAATTCTAAGTTAACTTACAGAAAAATTTTTAAAGGAGCTTATGGAAAGCTTTCATTATATTCTGTGGAAACTGTTCAAGAGCACTCAGGCAGTCTTTGCCTTTGAGGAATATCAATTAAATAAAATTGTGCAGAGATAGGCTGTGTTATTTCTCAAAGCACAAATACTGTATACTATATCTCCCACATCCATTGACATAAATGTTTTTTTTCCAAAAGTGCATTTTCCTTTTTCAATACAGGTTGCCTAAGTCTTGCGGACAATAATATGGATTGCCCCTAAGTATTTATTTTGTAGAGTCAGCAGCAAATTTAACTTTTTTGTGTGTGGCTAGCTGCTAAAAAAAGGTTGCAGCTCCAGGAAAGCAAAGAAAAACAACAACATGTCTAAGAATAAGGCCTCACTAAGGCAATCAAAAGTTTTCCTGTCTGAGTGATTTTTTTCTAAATATTCTAAAATGTTCAACAACATTTATTCAAGAAAGGAAGAACCATTTTATCTTTGTTCAGTTAAAATAGTCTTCTTATAGATGAATCAGCAAAGGGATAGAAAAATCAGCAAATAAAAATGTAAAGAACACTAGACATCAAAAAGTGCAAGCCAGTCAAACTCAGTAAAGAGCTAATAATGCACAATGGTAAAGAGTGTAAACAAAACCAACAAACCTAAACACTAAACTGAATTCCTCTGATTTAACAAATACAATAAATTAACATCTAAACTAGAACAACATGATAAAGACTTCAAAGATACAGGAATAGGACAATAAGAATTTTCTCAGAACACAGAAACCAGAGCCATGAAATGGATACAGAAATAGGACTGAATAGGAAAAAAAATAAAATTTAAATGAATAAAGAGGAAAGAGATCATTTTAAAAGGAAATAGAACATTTGCTTAAATATTTTGATTTAGATATAGATGAATCATTACAAATTCAAGAAATTTATAGAATAAACTAATGTACAAAAATATAGCATGTGATATAATTAAATCTACATACTTTTAAGAGAAAGGGTCAATTTAAAGGAATACATTGTATTAAAACTTGGAGACAAAATAACGGAGATTTTACCAGATATAGAGATTTCAGATTTCTGACATCTTCTTCCAAGAAACAAAGTTCAAATATGGGTAGGCTATCCCATTTTGTTGGAGGCAGTCATGAATAGTAGCCTTTGCATATACTAATAGAATATTTAATATAAGATTGTCATTCACAGCAACAGAATAGGCTACAAAAGATCCAGAATAGACACCAGATCAAAAAGTGGATCAATTAGCAATTTCTTTCACAAATGGAATTGATAACTGACATAATAGATCACAACAAAATTTTCAAGAAGTATTAATAAAATTACAGAACTGCAGAATAACAGATTTGGAAGGAACCTTGGATGTCTTCTAATCCAACCCCTGCTCTCTTCTTAAAAACCTCTAGTAATGGAGCACCAACAATTTCTGGAGGCAAGCCACTGATTAATTGTTCTCAGGCTGGTTCTTGGGTGATGTGCTCCCCAGTTTTGAACAGGAGCAACTAGGACTGACCCAAGACAATCCTTGAATGACTGTGTTCCTACCTGGGGATAGGACTCACGATGGATGCAATTCTTGGCAGGAGTGGCCAGAGCACATCGTGGTTTTAGCTGCACATTTTGAAATTTATGTTTTCTTTTTGAGTTTCATCTTCACCTGTTAATTAATTGGTTGAATGCTTAACAGAATAACAGTTTGGAAAGGACCTTGGAGATCTTCTAGTCCAACCCCCTGGACAAGCTGGAGACCCAATACCATTCTGAACAAATGGCTATCTAATCTCTTCTTAAAAATCTCCAGTGATGGAGCACCCACAACTTCTGAAGGCAAGTCATTCCAGCGATTAATTATTCTCACTTTCAGAAATTTCTCCTTAGTTCTACAGTAGGTTGGTTTTCTCCTTGATTAGTTTCCATCCATTGCTTCTTGTCCTGCCTTCTGGTGCTTTGGAAAATAGGTTTACTCCCTCTGGCAGCTCCTCAAATATTGGAACACTGCTATCATTTTATCCCTAGTCCTTCTTTTCACTAGACTAGACATACCCAATTCCTGCAACTGTTCTTAATATGTTATAGCCTCTATCTTTGTTGCTCTTCTCTTCACTTTTTCCAGAGTCTCAACATCTTTTTCATATTGTGGCAACCAAACTGGATGCAATATTCCAAATGGGGTTTTATCAAGGCATTATTAAAGCATTAGTGATACTTCACATGATCTTGATTCTATCCCTCTGTTAATGCAGTCTAAGATTGCATTAGCTTTTCTGGGGGGGGGGGCTGCAGCATACTGCTGGCAATATTTAAGTGGTTGTCTAACACTTTCCTAGATCCCTCTCACACTTGCTGGTATTGAGTGAGGTTCAGTTAATTCTATACCTATACATTTGGTTTTTCTTGCCTAAGTGTAAACCTTATCTTCCTGTATCTTGAGTCTATCTTCTGGGGTGTTGGCTATTCCTGCCAGCTTGGTGTTGTCTGCAGATTTGATGATTTCCCCTTCTGTCCTCTCATCCTCTTTTATGAAGTTATTGAAAAGTACTGGGCCTAAGACAGAACCTTGGGGTATTCGACTGCTTACTTCCCTCCATATAGAAGTAGTTCCATTAAGGACTACATTTTGATTGTGGTTTATCAGCCAGTTATGAGTTCATGTGCTACAGATGGTGGTAGACTAGGGCCTACAGACAGCAGCAGACCAGGTGCTATGGACAACGGTAGACCAGGGCCTACAGATGGCAGCACACCAGGTGCTACCGGGACTTGAACGAGAGGCCTGCAGGTAGGCAGTGAGGCAGCACAACAGAAGCGATGGAGCAGCAGAGGACCCAACCGGCAGCTCGAGAGAACCTGGCTGAACGTTGGAGACGGAGCAATGGCCGGAGATAGAGCAACAAATGGAAGTAGTTGATAGGAAGGTCCAGTGGAAAAAACCCAGCTATTAAACCTGCTCAGCAGAGAAAAACCAATTAACAAACCTGCCCAGCTATTAGACCAGCTCAGCATAGAAAAACTATTTGAACATAGAAGAGACCTCAGAGGAGCAACGGCTAGAAGCCACTGGGGGCTAAGCTCAGGAAGACAGTCAAAAAAGCAAGGCAGAGAGGATAGAGATAAATAAAGAGCAAATTAAGAAAAGGAAGGATAGGGATGAATTTTTAGGCAGAGAGCAGAAAGCAAAAAGCAAATGCCTTGTTGAAGAGAAAGCAGTCCTTTCCTTAGTTAAATAGCCCTATCCTAACATTAACTTTTAATTTCAACATAAACTGCAATTTTTTCCATTAAAACCAAAAGATTTGACCCTACTGATAAACCCTTGGAGGAAGACAAATAGAGATATGTCACACATAGAAGGAAACACAATACTCAAAGAAGCAGCATACAAGTAACAAACCCCTTCTGCCCAATCCAACCCAACCAGAAACAGCCCCACTAAAACTAAGCAATCGATTTCTCCCCTTAGATGGAAACACGCCGACTCACAACCTCCCCCTCAAAGAAAACATGCAGACGCTAGCAAAGAAACAACTTCAAATATCCCTTTTAAAAAGTCACATCAACAACATACCTGAGATAAACAGAAAAGCACTCCAGACTACAGCCCTCCCAAAAAGGAAGATGAGTGTTGGTAATAGAAGATTCTATCCTCAAAGGAACGGAATCATCCATCTGCAGACTGGACATACAATCCAGGGAGGTATGTTATCTCCCTGGAGCAAAAATCAAAGATGTGGCTCAAAACCTAACCAAAATAATTGGGCCTACTGAATACTACCCTTTCCTCCTCCTCCACATTGGAACGAATGACACAACAAAGAACCTGAGTACAATAGTGAGAGATTACAAACAACTAGTAGGCAATAAAGTTAAGAAGTTAGGAACACAAGTAGTGTTCTCATCAGTACTCCCAACGAAAGGCCACACCCATTGAGGGAAAAAATTATAGAAATAAACCATTGGCTAAAGAGTTGGTGTTGCCAAGAAAACTGCATCATCGACTGCATTTCCTACACAAAGGACTCTTGGCTGCACCTCACGAAAACGAGAAAATGTACTTGGAAAAAGACTGGCCCAACTCATCAGAAGGGTTTTAAATGAAAATTGAGGGAGGAGGGTGACCAATCTTTAGAATCTCTAGAACCCAAAACCAATCATAAATCCCAAGAAAACAAATCAAACAATGAGGTAGGCAGAGACGAAAAAAAAGAAAAACCCAAACAACAATCAGGAGATTCAGGAAACATACCCATGAAGAGGCATAAAAGTCCTAAAATGTTTATATATAAATGCTCAAAGTGTGGGTAAACAGGGCGAATTAGAAGGAATAGTACACGAGGGAGGGTGTGACATAGTTGGCATTACAGAAACCTGGTGGGACGAAATTCCTGAATGAAATGGACTGATGGATGGATACAAATTGTTCAAAAGAAACAGGTCTACAAAAAAGGGGGAGTTGCACGATATGTAAGAGAACACTACATATCTACAGAAATGCACATGATAAAAGATAAAATATCTCCAGAATGTATATGGGTTAATATAAGAGAAAAAAGTGACATTGCCATAGGTGTATTACAGACCACCCAACCAATCAGAAGAAATAGATGAACTCTTTGCCAACCAGTTAACAACTGTATGTAGGAAGCATACCACAGTAGTAATGGGAGATTTTATCCAGATATCAACTGGGAGACAAACTGCAGCGAGTGGGAGATAAAACAGATTCCTAACCAACATAGCCAACAACTTTGTCATCCAAAAGGTAGAGGAGGGAACTAGATGTAAAGCCATATTGGACTTAATTCTAACTAATAGAGAAGAAGAGATAGAGGGAGTTGAAGTTGCCGGAATCTTGGACGAAAGTGACCACATCATACTGGAATTTAATATAATGCAAACACTAGCAACAGAAAACAATCCAACCAGAGTCTTGAATTTCAAAAGAGCTGACTTTAACAAATTCAGAGCGAACCTAGGAAAAATCCCATGGATGAAAATCCTAAAGGGGAAAACAACCCAAGAAGCGTGGGAAACTCTGAAAAATGTGATTGTAAAAGCCCATATCAGCACAATACCACTGAAAAAGAAAAACAAGAAATTCAAGAAGAAACCAGCATGACTGCACAATGATCTGTTTGACAAACTGAAAGACAAAAAAGACAAATACAAAAAATGGAAAGCGGGGCACATAACTTATCAGCAGACAGCCAGAAGATGAAACGATGATGTCAGGGAAGCAAAGGCTCAGAACAAACAAAGACTTGCAACAAAAATTATGGATAATAAAAAAAGTTTATTCCAACATATTAATAACAAGAAAAAAGTCAAGGAAATTGTAGGCCCACTAAAGAGAGAAGGTGGCAAGCAAATAACAAGCAACAGGGAGCAGAGAATGAGACAGACATGGGAGGGTGGATCTCCAGCCTCTCAGTCCGGTTTCGCTTCGCCTAGCATCTCTTAAAAGGATGAAAAGTTGCCCTGGAGGGGCAACGAAGAAAGAGGGATATTTCAGGAGCTTGGATCTGGTGGCGACCAATCTGGGTGTACAGAAGCCCCCTCTAAAGGGGCGGAAGAAAAGCTGCTGGGAGAGCCGAGGCAGCCCAAGTTGTCTGCAGCCGGAAGGGAAGCTGTGAAAAACAGCTGATTTCCAATAACATGTTATGTCTGGGTGAGCTGAAGTCTTTTCCTTCTCCTTGTGATTGAAAATGTTGAGACCCTGAAAGGGAGAACTTCGAGTAAAGACCCCCAGAGAGACTTTTTGAGCGGCAATTTAACATTAAGGGGAAATGTTAATATCAAACTATCGGAGTACCAGAGCGTGGAGACTGATAAATAAGCCAAGGAGAACATCTACTGGCGAAAAATAAGAATTAAAAAGAGAGTGACCTTGGGAAGCTTGAGAACAAAAAAAAGCCTTGGTCTGAGATAACAAGTGAAAAGGCTGTTTATAGCTATGCTTGTTGACATTGGCTAAAAACTAAATAGACATCATCTGGGGGGGGGGAGAGAACATTTTAGATCCAAGAAGGGACTGGAGGAGGTAGGTTTGGCTCACAACAACTGATTCCTGTTTACACTTTGGATATAGGTTTAAGACTGTGAGCCACAAAATGAGTACATCTAATATTTCCAGACTTGCAGAGAAAACCTCTTCGGAGCCCTCTGTCGAACAAGCCAGTCCAACAACTCAGAGTTCTGTCGGTACATTGCTACAGTGTGATAAAGCAAGCACGGCTCAAGATGAAACACAGGACTCTTTAAAATTAATTCAAGAAATCTTGCAGAGGAACCATGAGGAAACACAAAGTAAACTGGAGAAAGTAAGAGAAGAAATTAGGGATGTAAAGGCACAATTTGAAGCTCAAAATCAAAAGATCATTAAAAATGAACAGAAAATCCAGGAAATGGAAAATAAAGCTGAAGACATTGACAAAAAGGTGGAAATGTTATTGCAAAAGAATGAAGGACTGGAACAAACAAATCAAGAGCTAGAACGGGCTATGGCAATGGTAACAATGAGAGAAGTGGAACGTTATTTGAGGTTTCAAAAATACAGGAACTGCTGGATAAGCAGATTATATCAATTTGGAATATTAACTGGCAAAAGAAGACCAGAGACAGATGCAAGAGATTTGACTCGTCCTACCAGATGAACTATTACATGAACAAACACTTGTTTAAATATGGTTAAAAGAATAGAGAACCTTGAACATAAGGGGGCCCTATAACAAGAGGGATAAGAGATTTAAGCAGTGCTTTTTTTCTTTAAAAAAAAAAGGTGCCGGAATTCACACACGTC